GATATTTAAAAGACATAAAAATTGGGTTGACTCACAAAATTATATCATGCCATAGAAATTGGGATAGAGAAAATAACATATATTATTTGAAAATAAAGTAAAATTACTATAAATTTAAATATTTTGTTTTACTATAAATTTAAATAATTAACAACTTAAAATATTTAAATGATATGTAAAAAAATTGTTTGATTCTCTAAATTATATAATGCTACATAAATTGAGACATAAGGACTACCATATATTATTAAAAAATTACGTAGAAAGTACTAAAAAGCATAATAATTAACAACTTAGAATATTAAAAAATTATATAAAAACTTTGATTGACTCTCCAAATTTCATTAGTGTGCCACATAAATTGAGATTGAGGAGAGTAACTTGTGTTATCTGGAAATTAGATAAAAAGTTAAAATAAATTACAAATATTAATAACTGAAAATATTTTTAAAATAATACAAAATTAAACAAAATCCTTTATCTAGTATTTTAAATAAGTATTCATCTATTGGAAAAATAAAAGTTATGGAGTTATTTAACAAATATTTAGAGTAATTTCACACTAATAACCATTTTAACATTACAGTAAAGATATTTGTTCTACTGTCATTTGTCATTGTTTAGCCTTTTAGGTTAAGATCTAAAATCTCATTTCCCCCAAAATCATATTCCCTCTTTTCAGCAAATCCGATATCCTTCAGACACACTTCCCCGTGAAGTTTGATTAGCGATTTCTCTTCTCCCTTTCCCCGTGCCCTAGTAAATCAACTCAATGCAAAGAGAATTTGAAGAAGAGCACAATTTTTTGCTATGTACCTCAAGGAATGCAGTTATTGAAGCGGTTGGTCCTTAAGATTGTGAGGAAATGGGTTCGAGTGACGATTATCCAGAATCATGGCTTTCAACCACTGTTGCAGAGCAAATGGGGTTAGGTTTTTCTCTACTTTTTTCTCCCTGTAGTAGTTAGGTTAATTATTTCGACTATTTCTTTCTGTTTATGGTAAGATTTCTGAAATTTTATGGTTTCATTGAGGGATTTTGGGTTTACTTCATGTGTTTAATGTTAAGTTTTATTTAAGTGTATGTTGTATGTTAATCCATATGATTGACCTCTGCAACAAATTATTTCCTCGAGAGTTGTTGTTATTTAGAAATTAATCTCTTATAAATTCACCATTTGCTATCCCTATTTACAATGCTCTTAGATTCAAGAGAAGGGTTTGTTGGTATAGTGCTTGATTGCTTGGTGAGTTGGAATATGAATAGAGGAAGCATCAAATGATTTCTAAAAAATATGGTCCACGCCGAAGATAATCAATGGTCTCTGCCTTTATTGAAGTTTGTGTCTCTTGTGTTTGCCACAATTTTTTATCATGGCATCATTTTAGCCAGATACATCTCGATTAATTCTCTCCATGGAGTAGCTTCATGAAATGCCTATAATTCTCTCAAAAAAAATTAAAAGGAGCTAAAAAAAATTGTGAATATGAAGCTATGGACTGAAGTGGCATCCAGATTGTTGTTTTCCCAGCAAAGATATCTCGTTTTCCTAATGTTGAAACATTCAAAGAAAAAGAGAATTCCTCTGGAGAAAAAAATGAAGATAACATTAAATATTCCTCATTTTATCTTTAAAAAATGAAAATGACATTAAAGATTCCTCATTTTAGCTTTTCTTCAAGAATCTCTCTAGTGTTTCTTTTTTCTTTTGAGGTTTTTTTGCTTATGAGAAGAAGAGTATTAGTTGTTAGAGCAAGCTAACGTGAATTCTTATATCTTCAATATGAGTATGTATACATAATAGAATAATGAATATGTGATGAGATTATTCACCTTCTTAATTATGAATTGCATAACTAGAAAAAGTTAATGTTCAATATCAAGTTGATTCGCAAGCAAGTTTGCAAGAAGGCAATTGGATATGGGATGGTTTTGAGGGCCTACATTGCAATTCGGTGAAGAGGCATGTTGTTGGTAACAAGAGATGTAAAGCATTTCAATATTTCAAGTACAAGAGACAGAGTTCTCTCAAGATTCAATTTTTAGTATTAGGTTTCTTCTGTTGGGAGTAGTGAATTATAAGGCACAGTATTAACCGTCATTAGTTCTTTTTTCTCTTTGTAATTCTTTTCTCTTTACAACAATAACATATTCAGTGTAGTAGTTCTTTTTCTCCTATTTTCTTAAATTTGTTTAGATGATGAAAGCATATGAAGATGAGTGACAGATTGTGCTTCACTTTATGTACTTGGAAGATTACCTAAAGAACCTAAGATCAAGTCTAAATATCTAATGATAAGGCTTCTAATCCCAATTGAAGAACAAAAATACACCTAGCTACTCTATTAATTGAACATCCAACTTCTAATTCTTGCAGTACTATTTCTATAAATTTAGTTCATTATCTAACAAACAATTTATTAAAATAGATCATGAGGAGTGTAAAATGACTTATTATTTGGTTAATGTGAGGTAAGGATCTTATTTTATTGCTCTTTTTTTATGCTAACTTTAAATTCCCTTTGCTTTCCTAGATAAAGAAATTAGTATTCTGTATCTATCTTGTTGCACCTTGATTTGTGTAGATAAACACTTCTAGTAGAAATTGCCAATCAGACTCTGTATTTGTTATCCATGATTTGTACCTAGTAGCGGCAAACCCAAATTCAATGAAATAGTTAGAATGTGTGCCTAGACTCCAATAAGTGTTGAAACATTTGAGTGCATGAATAGTTTGGATCATGTATATGTTTTATTCATATTGTGACACATTACTGAAGAGTGATAAGCTTGTACTCTAATGATAATTTTAAACTTTGGTTTGTTTATTTTTACTTGTGTGTTTTCTTATAACTTCCAATGTTTTCTGATTAGTGTCGACAATATTAGTCATAGATATCTCACTAAGATGTAACTAGGCAATGTATCATTTTCTTCATTGGACTAATATTAAAGCTTATATTTAATATCATCCAGTGATGCCATTTAGGCATAATGAAGTCAATAAGTTGTGTATCAATACTTCTATTGTTAGGTTACTGGCACTAGCAGTTTGTCTCTGTATATATTTCTTTAGTTTCACATTTAGTTAGATTGTTGCTTGAATTATATGAACCAATAGATCGTGATAAGTTGTTACTATTAGCAATGTTATACTATACTCAATTTTCCTGGGCTTCAACTTTTACAATTTTGTTTGGTCTTACATTTACTACTACTTTTTTGTTTTGTTTTTGCATATGATTGCTTTCAAGATGATGCAAGTGCATAGGCTAACTACACCATGTGAAATTTTCATAGAAAATTAAGGAAAATTATAATAGAATCTCTTGCTGGTGAAATTAGAAGTAGTAGGAAGTCCTGTGATTCCCAATGTGTATCAAATCAGGATCATGTATGGATTTGCAATACGTGTTAGGAAATATTTATGAGTTCATTAAGTTAGTTTTCGCCTACTTCTATTTATATGCAATCCCTAGTAAATTATTTATGTATTCACTGATCGTTCTTATGATTTTGTAATTTTTCCTCTTCTAGATCTTTACCATCAAGATGAAGTTGTTGCTTATGAAAATCAAATTATGGTAAGTACAATTAAAGCTCAATTATTTTGCATTGACAATGTGCACTGATTATTTGGTTCTAGTAGTTGTGTAAGATTTAAAGAAAAGGAATTGAACTCTTTCCATTTTATTGTTTTACCACACTGTCTTCTTTGTTTTGATCCCTTAATGCAATCATTTTTACTTTCTTAAATGTGTTTTGCTTTCTTTTACTCTAATATTCCAATGGTCACCTCTTTTCTTATTAGATTGTAATAATGGTTATATATTTGATTTCTTCCTAACAGGGATAATGTTATTAAACAATCGCAAATGAGGTCGATCAAGAATGTGTTTGAAGGCACTATATGTTTTGCTTATTTATAGTCATATCATATGATGTAAAATAAAATATTGTGTAGGAGTATATATTTAATTGACTTGTTAGTGACTGAACAATTTATGATATTGGAGTTGAAAAGTATTTTTTGTCCTATCTGTAATGATATTGAGTTTATGAAATTAATTAAAATCTATATCTTTTTTAAAAAAAATTGAAATTAGCTTTCTGTGGCGACTTTTTTGCTGCGGGTAAAAGTTCGTAGCTACAGTAGCGACGCATATTGCAACTGAAGGAATGATTTTTTGTGGCAACTACAGTCGTCACTAAAGAAAAGGGGTTACTGCAGCGACAACTATTGCTGCTAAATATTATTTTTTTTGTAGCGAGAAAGCTCGCCGCTAAAAGATAGTTTGCAGTGGCGACCTGAAACCTTTAATGACCATATCCATTAATTGTTGGTGGCAACAAAAGTCGCCACAAATGTGTTGTTTTAGTAGCAACTCTCCATTGTCGTTACAAATAACATTTAGTTATGGAAGTAATTGCTACGGCGCAAATGTCGCCACAAAACACCTTTAGCAGCGACTTTCTAGGTTTCTGTCGCGACATTTGTCGCCACTAAAATGCAGTTTCTTGTAGTGAGTTTGTAGACTAGCTTGTGGATTTGCCTGAAGATTCTAGCTTGTCGACTAGCTTGTCGATTCACTTGAAGGTATATGCTCACGCTACAAGAGGTAATTCTGAAATTAAATTCAGAAAAGTTTATATGCTCTAACATGATTGTACTTGTTCTAACATAAACAATGTGTTGTCTATTATTCATGTAAGTTGTATGATTCTGTTATGCTTCTATTGTGCATATAATTTTCCAATAATTGTCATCAAGAGCCATACTTACATCTTTATATATAACATAAAATATATGTATGTGCAATTGTATGTATGATTCATGGTTGGTAAATATATTTTTATCGCGAAAAGAACGAATTCAATGAAACTTGAAGGTTTTTGATTCATTGACTAATATACGTACGCTCTTAAATTGTGAGATGATCAAGAGGACAAAACGTGTTGGCGACAGTTTTTCACTTTCACATGGGAATGTACAGCAATAGTAAACACTTGTCCTAATGATTATTTGAAGCCCTTTATTTTTAAATTAATGGAACCCAAATTGAAAACTTTTCATCAGTTAAAAAAAAAGTTAAAGTTCAATGGATTTCTTTATTTAATAAATGAAAGTACGAACTTCTGAACATGTAATTAATTTTTTTATCGGTGGCTAGTGGCAATTTTTTTAGGGTTGTTTGTTATTAATCCATCAAATTTGCAAAGCTTGATAAGAAAGGGAATCATAGAGGTTGTTGATGAACAAATTATCATTGAACTGATTGTGAAGTATTTTTTAACTTTATAATTTTTGTTCTTGATTGATTGTTGATTCCAAAGATTATAAAGTGGCGGTGGCAGTCACTATTCAGGTCAATTGAATTATTTTTTCTTTTTGTTCAATAATTATTTGAGCATATTATTCATTACATAAATATCAATTTGTATAAATTAATAATTTTTTGGTTAATAAATAGTTATCACTTAAGTGGTTTATTTATTTGAAATCGTTGAAAATTCATTAGACTTTATACTGTAACGCCCCTCAAAACGAAGTAGGATAAAGTAGAGCCTCACATGGGTTTTATGCATTAATAACTTGTTAAAAAAAGAAAGAAGAGGTCCAACTAAGTGAGGGGTAGTTTGGG